CCCTGTCTGTAATATAAAAAGAGCAACAACATCCCAGCACTTTGGGAGGCTGAGGCGGAAGGATCACGAGGTCAGGAGATCGAGACCATACTGGCTAACACGGTGAAACCCCATCTCTAGTAAAAATACAAAAAATTAAAGCCGGGCACGGAGGCAGGAGCCTGTAGTCCCAGTTACTCAGGAGGCTGAGGTAGGAGAAAGGTGTGAAACTGGGAGGCGGAGCTTGCAGTGAGCCAATACTGCGCCACTGCACTGCAGCCTGGGTGACAGAGCGAGACTCTGTCTCAGAAAAGCAACAACAACAACAACAACAAAAATTCATTGAGCATAGTGGCACATGCCTGTAGTACCAGCTATTTGGGAGACTGAGGCAGCAGGATCACTTGAGCAAAGGAGTTAGAGGCTCCAGTGAGCTATGATCATTCCACGCACTCCAGCCTGAACAACAGAGCCAGACCTTGCCTCAAGTTTAAAAAAAAAAAAAAAAAAAAAAAAAAAAAAAAAAAAAAAAAAAAAAAGGTCAGTGGTTGTCAGCAGTTGGGTGAAGGGCAAGATGAAAAATAGGTGGAACACAGAGGATTATTAAGGCAGTGAAAATACTCTGTATGATACTCAAATGATGGATACATATCATTATATATTTGCTCAACCCCATAGAATGAACACCACCAAGAGTGTGTCAACTATGGACTCTGGATGATTAAAATGTGTCAATGTAGGTTCATCAATTGTAACAAAGGTACCACCCTGGCGGGGGATGTTGATAATTAAGGAGACGGTGGATGAGTCAGGCAGGAGATATATGGGAAATCTCTCTAGCTTTTTCTTTTTTTTAACTTTGGTTTTGCTGTGAACCTAAAATTTCTCTAAAAATTAGCCTTTAAAATGTTAAATTATACATACAATATACTTTATATAAATTGTATATATTTTATATATAATATATTTTTATATACAATATATTATATATTTTATTTATAGATATATACATGCACACACACACACATAAAGCAGAGACTCTACAAATAGCTAAAACAATCTTGAAAATGAATAAAGTGGAATAATGCACTCTACCTAATTGTAATTTAGCTACAGTAAACAAGGTGGTGTGCTATTGGTGAAAGAGTAGACATATAGATCAATGGAACCAAATAGAAAACTCAGAATTAGACCTCTGTAAATATTACCAACTTATTTTTATAAAAATGAAAAAAATCAGTGGAGGAAAGGTGGCGTTTATAACAAATGATGCTGGAGTAATTGGGCATCTATAAGCAACAACGACAAAAAACAGTGAAGAAACACCTTAACCAAAACCTCACACATTATTCAAAAATTTTCTCAAAATGGATCATTGTTAATGGATCATTGTTAAATAAGTTTTATTTAAACTATTTAAAAATGTAAAACCATAAATCCCCTAGAGAAAAACATGGAGGAAATTCTTTAGAATATATGGCAGAGCTAATATGTAAAACATGTACAGAGAAAAAGCATCCTAATTTTGCATCAACAAAATAATCTACTAACTAGTACATCCTCTTAGAAATATTTATCTAGTTCAATGTCATATGCCGTTGAACTAGATAAATATTTCCAAGAGGATGTACTAGTTAGTAGATTATCTTGTTGATGCGAAATTAGGATGCTTTTTCTCTGTACATGTTTTTCTTTGAAAAATATTTGAAAGTATCTACCCTGGCCAAGGCACTGGTAGGAGATAGAGATGTGGAGAGTAGATAAATAAATAAATATACTTTTCTAGTTTTGACACACAAGATCATTAAAAATAAAAATTAATACATTAGATCTCATTAAAAACTTTTGTTATGCAAAAAATCCTGCTAAGAGGAATGAAAAATAAGCTATAGAATGGGAAAAAAATTTGCAAGCCACTAGTAAAAGATGTCTAGCATTAAGAAGATACATAAAACTCTCAAAAGTCAACAACAGAAAACAAACAATCCAATTAGAGTGTAAGCAAAATACACTCAGACATTTCAACAAAGAGTATATAGAGATGGCAATAATTAAAAGGAAAGATATTTAAAATAATTAACCATCAGATTAATGCACATTACAACCATGATGAAATATCACTGCACACAAATCAAAATGGATAAAATGAAAAATGGTGATCCTGGGAAATATTGGCAAAGCTTCAGACAAACTGGATCACTTACACATTGCTGATTAGAATGGAAAATAGTTCACTGTCTCCTACAGTGCTAAACATGCAACTACCTACAACTCAGCAATTGTACTCCTGAAGACATGAAGGCATATGTTTATGCATTGCTGGTGGAAATGCAAAACCTTTAAGACACTCTAAAAAAGTTGGGTAATTTCTTTAAAAAGTAAACAAGCAATTACTATGTGAGCCAGCAATTGACCTCTTGGTCATTTATCCTAGGGAGATGAAAACTTATGTTTACATAAAAACTTATACATGAATATTCATAACAGCTTTATTTGTAATAGCCAAAACTGGAAACCACCTAACTATACTTCAATGGGTGAATGGTTAAGCAAATTCCAGCACATCCGCAGCATGGACTACTAATCGGCAATAAAAGAAAACACACTGCAGAGCTCACATAACTTCATTGAATCCCCAGAGAATTAGGCAATGGAAAGAAAGTAAATTCCAAAAGTTATAGATTGTATGAGTCTATTTATATAAAAATGTTAAAATAGTAACATTTTAGAAACAGAGAAAAGATATAGCTTGTCAGGTATTAGGGAAGGGAGTGGAGAAGGTGGGAGAAGGAAGGTAGACATGATTACAAAAGGGCAACAGATGGGATCCTTGTGTTGATGGAACTGTTGTGTATCGTAACTATGATGCTGAATACAGCAAACCTATCTACATGATGAAACTGTATATGAATTTAATGACTTCCTTTTTCCTACACAACAATCAACACAAGAGCATTCCCAAACCTATTTTAGACTTGTCAGGTTAGTTTGTTGACAGATATGTAGATGAACTTTCTTTTCCAAATATGTTATTCTCTGTGAAAGCATTTTGAAACTGCTTATAATGTCATATTAGTAAGATTGTTTCTCTGATACAAATATGGAATTTGTTCTCCATAATAGAATATTCAAACCTGTATATCTTGTTGTCTATTTCAATAGTTTTAACAATCATCTCTTTTTTTCGCATTTATTACGTTTACTGTGCTGGAAAATACCTTCACACTTACAAGGATTCAAGTGTCCTTCAGAGTCCTCTTTAACAAACATGTCCATACTATCAAAATGTTCCTGCAAAATGTTGTCGGCGTATGACATTGAACTAGATAAATATTTCCAAGAGGATGTACTAGTTAGTAGATTATTTTGTTGACGCAAAATTAGGATGCTTTTTCTCTGAAAATGTTTTTATTTGAAAAATATTTAAAAGCATCTACCCTGGCCAAGGCACTGGTAGGAGATAGAGATATGGAGAGTAGATGAAGAAATAAACCAAGAAAGGATCTCTTCCTTAATTAACTCACAGTTTAATAGTGGGGATAATGGTCATAATTATATAATTATAATAATACAATCATCATGCTCAATAGCTACAAAAAAAGGTTGTATCCCACTTTCTCATTATCCCTGGTCCCTTCCCGTGGACTGCACAGTGTGCTTTACTAGTTAACAGAAAAGAAAAATTGCTTATGGATTTCTTAACCAGCTCTATGCATTAAGAAAATATACTGATGATTAGTAATTCTGTCTGCCTGCCCTCAAGCCTGACCCATTCTCCACCTATCTTCGATCTACTTTGTGTCTACCCGGGACTGACCTTGAGGCCAACTTTGACATCTCTGGGCTCCCATCCCTGTGGCTTCTAATTGGTGTTAATAAGGCAATAGAAGTCACTGGCAGGAGATCAGAGCTAATGAGGAGAAAGATTTCAGGGTGATGGCCCTCCCCCGCAGTACATACACACACACACACACACTCATTCCTCCTTGTCTAAGCACAATGAATCTGGTAATTGTTATGACACTGTGTCTACTAGAATTGGGTGCAGCCTACTTTCCACAACTTCGGCTTTCAGCTCTCACCTGAATCTGGTAACTCTATTTCCTCTCCTCGCCCTTCAGGTAGAGGGTGATAATGGCTTCTTGCTCTAATTAGTTCCAGGGTAACACGTTAGCACTCGGTGGTTTCCTTAACCTTGTCCATCCCTCTGTAATAGTCCCTTCCTCAGATTGCCTTCAACATCCCAGCGAAATGTACTTACTATTTTCTGATAGGACCTAATCAATACACCTGGGATTATACCTGTAAAACGAAATTGGAAAGGAAAAGTGATAAATGGCATATGGACTAGAGAACTGCTCAGGTTCAGTGGAGTAAGACATCTTTTCCAGCTAGCAGATTAGAGTGAACTTCATGGATGAGAGGCAGTCAAGAAAGACAAAGGTTAATTCTCCACCTTTCTAATGAGAAATATGGGGTTTTCTCCTGTGTGTGCGTGCATAGATTTGAGCTATTCAGAAAGAAAAAAAAAACACACACAAACAAACAAAACAGAATATTGCTCCTGGAAAGAACAACTAACTATGGGTTACAGAGTTTGCCTTTCTGATGAACCTGTGAAATGTCAGCATCTCTCTCTGTGTGAGCCTGATTGGAATGCTCCTGTTGAAATGTCATGGGGCCAGCTGCATCCACAGTGGGAGGTGACATGGCCTTAGCTGGGACTGTGCAGGGCTTCAGCATCACCATGTGCAGAGACAAAGCCACTGTGAGCTCAAATAGAGAAGCAAATCTACCCTCCTTTCCGTCTCCTCATCTCCTCACCCTTATTTCTCCTGTAACCCTGCATCTCTGCCTCTCATAAACAGCGCGTATTTTGCAAAAAGCATGAGAGTAGCGGGAGGGGTAGGGAGCCTTTTCTCTTTTTAAAGATCAAAACATTTTGCTCCTACTAAGAGTAATTAAAATGATGTTTAAAAGGAGTTAGCACAATGGTCAGGAAGAATTGCATCACACCAGAGTTATATGGGTCATTGGTCATTCCTCTTATTTTAATTTCCTGGCTCTGGCAAGCTCCAGGGCTGAGGCCCCATTCAGCGGTCAAATCATGGTAATTCCACAAACACCTGGAGAGAAAACAGGAAGTAAAAATCTCAAATAACTGTTTACAGGAGAGCTGTGGCCCTCTGGCCCTCCTTCTTCCATTTTCTTACCTCTTGCTCTCTCTTTTCTCTTCCCTTCCTCTTTCTCTTTCCATCCACAATTCCTTCCCTCTTTTCTTTTTTCGGTCTGTTTATGTAGGAATAGGAGAGGGGAATTACAGTCATTTAAAATGTACCTTGGATGGTAGTCAAAGCTAGAATTATTTCTAATGAGATATTGGAAGAAACAGTACAAAACAACTGAATTGCTCTATAAAATTTAAAATGTTAAGGCAGTCTTACCTGGGCTCGGGTTGCAGAAGCCCTAAGACATTAAGGCACCTGAAGCTGGAGAAAAGGTCCCCATCATCCCATTTTCAAAGAAATTTAGGATCTACGGCTGTAATGAGGTCATATAATGGATTAGTGTGGTTCTTTTCCTTGTGTGTTCTCTACCTTCAAATCGGTTATTTTACAGGTGGAATCGTTAGATCAAAGAATGTGTATTAACTGAGTCACCACCTCCAGGCAGCCTTGCCTGATGCCTCTTCCTTAGCCGGGGACATCTGTTATATTGCATGCCAACCTCTACTGCAACCTGCCTGTTTGCTCATTCTCCTCCCTCTCTAGACCTAAGTTCACCCAGGCAGAGACTGTGTTGCATCCCCTCGGGATTCCTACTCACGGGCCAATGGAGTCAGTGAGAACTCAGCGATTCCTGTTTAGTAAATCATTCATTGATAAACTGAAATATACCTATCTGAAAAAAAAAAAAAGTCTGTTTTTTGAATGTTTTTATCTCTTCCTTGTAGATGAAATCGACCCAGCATTCATTCAGTCTCGCTCATGTCCTTATATTTCAAGATCTTACCACCACTCTGCAGAAAACTTTCAGAGAAACGTCAAGGGTTGCAGAACAAAGTCCCATCTCCTAAACTTGGCAAACAAGAATACCATGAAAACCCCAGCCAAATTCACCGTGATCAGCACTCAGACACACTGCCTGGTCATCTGTACTTCAGCCAAGTGAAACTATTTTAGTTCCCTCATTAGGCCGGTTCCCCCTACCTCCCTGTTTTCCTGCTCCCCCGCCCCCACCCTTAGAAAGCCCTTCTCTCCACACTCTTAACTGGTCATCTCCTTTTTGCCTGTTGAAGTTCTCACCCTTAGCTCAAGCTCCTCCTCCCACTGTTTCCTGGCCCCACTGTGATAGGGCTTCTCTGCAACCACGGATGGTGTTCTCTATACAACTCCCAATGCTTATCGCACTGGGCTGTAAATAAGACTTGGTCTGTCTTTCTCTCCTCACCCTCAATCCTCCAGCCACACACATCGAACCACTCAAAATGGTTTGACAGTGAGTCAGCACTGCACATTGCTTGGAAGGGAGATATTGCCCAATATGTATTACCCAAATAAATGAATGAATAACCCAGCCAAGAAAGGAGAGCAAAGACGTCAATTTTGTTTTCAATATTGGTTTTTTGCACTGTGTTCTTATCATAATGCTAATATATGGTCATTATATTAAAAATAGTAATTACTATAGTGGTATTACTCCCCACCCTCCCTTATCTTTATCAATTAGGAAGGCAAAATAGAGTCTCATTGTTTACATTTGTGTTATTATTATAAGTGAGATTGATTTTTTTCTCTAAAGTTTAATGACCATCTGTAGTTTTTACTGAATGATCTGCTGGCTTTTTATCCATTTTTATTGGAGTATTCAATCTGTTGATTATTCATATATGAAAATTCTTCCTATATAAAATTAATAACTATTTTTATCACATTTTCAAATAGCTTTTAAAGCTTACTTTATTCCTTTTATTTTTGTTTATTTTTGCCTGGTTAGTGAGACATAAATATTTTTAACTGTTGGTAGGGAAATATATCAATATTTTTAATATGATTTCTGCCTTTGAATTTATTTATAGAAAGGTTTTCTTTTTACTTGTTTCATTTTTAGATTTCATTTTTTAATATTTCTGGAATTTATTTTGGCAGAGAGTATATTGTTTCTCCACAGAAATAACTAATTGTCCCAGCATGATTTATTGAATAATTCATAATTTCTCCTTTATTTGAAATGTCACACTTATCAGATGCTAATAAACATTTTAGTTTATATATACATGAGGTCGTTGCTTGCCTATCAAAATCTGGTTTTAAATGTTTGTTTATATACATGAGGTCATTGCTGGCCTATGAAAATCTGGTTCCATTGAAAAAGATATTTTTCCTTCAACACAGCACTGTAAGAATTCAGGGTTTTTTTTTTTTAAGATTATTTTATCTTCCAAGATATTTTCATATTTGGCATTGTAAGTCATATTTTAAGTTCTTCCTCTTGTCTCCCATTTATTCTTCTCTTTTAATTATTTTCTTAACCTATTCTCCCAGATTTACCCATTATATGAAATATGGGATATGTTTTGAAATTCCGAAACAAAAAAAGTTATATAAAGCATTGATTGAAATAAAATAAATGCTTTAAATGAACTGAAAAACATAACACTATTATACTTCTGGGTACATCTCATTTTATATTCCTCCATAAGGTTTTAAAAACTATTTACAGCATATACCTGATAAAGTTTATTCCAAAATACTGGATGTTCTCTGAAGATTTTACGAAAGGGGCCTCTTCTCCCCCATATTAATTTTCTATTGCTGTTGTAACAAATTACCAGAAACATAATAACTTAAACCAAATTTATTCTTATGGTCATGGAGGTCACAGTCCAAAATGGTTTTTCACTGGTGTATTAATCAAGGTTCTCTAGAGGGACAGGACTAACAGGATGGATGTATATATGAAAAGGAGTTTATTAAGGAGCATTGACTCACACAAACACACAGTGAAGTCCCACAATAGGCCATCTGCAAGCTGAGGAGCAAAGAAGCAGTCCGAGTCCCAAAACCGCAAACCTAGGGAAGCCAACAGTGCAGCCTGCAGTCTGTGGACGAGGTTCCAAGAGTCCCAAAGCTGAAGAACCTGGAGTTCAATATTCAAGGGCAGGAAGCATCCAGCACAGGAGAAAGATGTAGTCCAGATGGCTAAGCCTCTCTAGTCTTTCCACATTCTCCTGCCTGCTTTTATTCTAGTCACGCTGGCAGCTAGTTAGATGGTGCCCACCCAGGTTGAGGGTGGGTCTGTGTCTCCCAGTTCACTGACTCAAATGTTAATCTCTTTTGGCGAGATTCCCACAGACACACCCAGGAACAGTACTTCACATCCTTTGATCCAATCAAGCTGACAATATTAACCATCACAACTGGCGTGAAGTGCCATGGCCCCTCTGAAGGCTCCAGGGGAAGATCCCTTTCGTAGCCTTTTCTGGGTTCTTGAGCTGCGTTTTTTGCATTGCTGGTCTCATATGGCCACTTCCTCTGTCTTCAAAGTCAGCGAGATAGCATTTTAAAATCTCTGTCTCTGTTTTCCTGCTCCCGTCATCCATCATCTTCTATAGTAAATTCTCCTTCTGTCTCCCTCTTATAAGAACATTTAGGATCACATTTAGTGCCCATGTAGATAATCCAGGATAATCTCCTCATTTTAATAATTCTAATTTAATCTTATATGCAAAATCTCGTTTGTCATATAAGGTAACAATAATAGGTTCTAGGGATTAGTACCTGGGCATCTTTGGGATCATTATTCAACCTACCACAACACCCAGTACTTATGACTTGACGTATATTTTAAATTTAGCCAAATGGTTTTCTATGTAGATGATTAAAGCAACTAGAAATACTAAAAGATTTTGTCTCCCTTTAAACTTTTTATTTTCCCTATCATATTTTATGAGGCATAACTTCAAGAAAAATAAGTAATACAGGTAATAGTGGGTATCTTTTCTTACTCTTGATTTTAATGGAAATTCCTCAAGTGTTTCACCAACAAGTTATAATTTTTCAAACCCATTTAAACTTTCATTTTATTGATGTTGTATTATTGCATTCTCATATTAAAATAAAGGGATTAGAAATGAACTCAGATTGAAATTTTCAGATGCATTGCTCTTCACTGACCCTCTACCTTGATTTCTATAATACTGTACCTTTGAAAAGCCAGAAAAATTACCTGTTGTTTTTGTGTGGCCAGAACTCATCCTCTGACTCATTCTTTGAAAATATCTAGTGCCCTGTTCTTATGCACCATTCACTCCGTTAGGTCTTAGAAATGTCAAGGAAAACAAAACTACTAGAGTTAGAAGAAGAGGTGGTCATCTGGTCAGGCATGGTGGCTCATACCTGTAATCACAGCCCTTTGGGAGATCAAGGAAGGTGGAGCATGAGGTCAGGAGTTTGAGACCAGCCTGTCCAACACGGTGAAACCCCGTCTCTACTAAAAATACAATACAAAAATTAGCCTAGCGCAGTGGTGGGCTCCTGTAATCTCAGCTACTAGGGAGGCTGAGGCAGGAGAATCACTTGTACCCGGGAGGTAGAGGTTGCAGTGAGCCGAGATCACACACTGTACTCTAGCCTGGGCGACAGAGCAAGACTACATCTCAAAAAAAAAAAAAAAAAAAAAAAGGTGGTCATCAACAAATAAATGCTCATTATTAATAAATTGTGTTCAATGTTATGAAAGTAAAAACAGTTCATTAAAATAAATGGAAAAACAGAGAAGTGGGATGACAAAGTGACAAAGTAGATCATATACAGAACTGTGTGTTTTGCTTTTCAAGGCATAAAGTCAACATAGAATAAGACAAGGCCTCTGGACAACAGAGGTTAAAAATTTATCTCATTTTTCCATGCTTATGGAGAAAAATAGGCTGTGGTAGGCAACTGTGAAAATTATTCAATTTTATAGTTAAAAATCTTTTGGGAAATGATCTCTTTTTGAGAAAGTCTTGGGCTAGTCTCTTCTGTTTAGTTCCATGGCAAAAATGACATCAGATCAACAAAAAGATTTTCAGTATTGTGCTACTCCACCACTCCAAAATGACTGTTATTGGGACAGAGGCTAGAAATAGAAAGACTGACTAGTTGTAAATAATGTATTTCTAGAATTAACTGTACTTGACCTTAATAGATATCTTATGTGCAGTAGTTCCTGTTTATCCATAGTTTTGCCTTCCTTGGTTTCAGTTACCTGCAGTAAACTGCAGTCTAACAATACTAAATGGGAAATTCCAGAAATAAACAATTCATCAGTTTGAAACTGCAAACCATTCTGCATAGTGTGATGAAATCTCACGTCACACTGCTTCGTCTCACCTGGGATGTGAATTATTGCTTTGTCCAGTGCATCCGTGCTGTATACGCCACCCACTCATTAGTCATCGTCATCGCCTGCTCTTGACATCTAACCATCCATAAACATAATTATGGCTCTGTCATCCAGGGTCACCAGAAGCCGATGATCCTCATTCTGAGGTATCGTCAGAAGGCCAATAGTAGTGCAGTGTTATGTCACAATGTCCATGTCATTTACCTCATATCTCATCACATAGGCATTTAATCATCTCACATCATCACAGGAAGAAGACTGAGTACAGTAGTACAATAAAATATTTTAAGAGAGAAAAAAAGAGAGATACCACATTCACAAAACTTTTACTACAATATATTGTTATAATTGTCGTATTTTATTGTTAGTTTTTCATCTCTTACTGTGCCTAATTTATAAATTAAACATTATAATAAGTATGTATATACAGAAGAAAGTATAGTGTATATAGAGTTAGCTACTATCCTCAGTTTCAGGCACGTACTATGGGTCTTGGAACATATCTCCAGCAGATAAGGGAAGGCCACTGTTTGGGCAACTGTTTGTTTTGTGAGATTAATGTATAGTTTGTCTTATGTCTTTACTTTTATTTGATTTTGCTATCAGAGTAATATTTAATCTTAGTGTACTATACTGTTTCTAAATTTTATACACTTCTCAAGCTTATTAGACATTTTTGAATAATGCATATTTTAGGCTCTTTCATGAAAACTCAGAATCAGAATCTCTGCTCTGGATCCCTGAAAATATGCATTTTAAACATACTTCCAGATAATTATATGCACACTGAAGTTTGTGACCTATAGGTGTAATGATTAATCCCAGTGACTTCATAGTCTAAAAATGTATCAGTCATCTGACTTTTGAAAATATTCTTTATCTTAATTTACTCACTTGTAAGTAGAGATAAAAAATCTTGCTAAATAAGAGAGGTTGTAAGAATTATTTAAAATAATATTTGCAAAGAACATAGCTTGGACCAAGATCTTTTTTTCACAAATACTTCTTTTGATACTTTTAAAAATTGATTTCATATTTATAGCACTTGTGTTATTATAAATCACTACCTAATTGGGTTCCAGGTTCATATTCACATTCAGTTCAATTTTAATGCAACATAACAACTCTCAATTCAATTTTATTTATCTATTTCATGGCTAAAGAAATCTTTGAGTGTTTTGTTATTCTTTCACAAAGAGTACTCAAAGTCAGAATCGTTACTGTTCTGACTCAAGGAATATTTAACTGGATAATGGATTTAGAGATCTGGAATGTGATTTTGACTGCCCTTCCTGGAAAAGTCATAATGCGTCAGACCATGGAAACGGGAACTGAGTTTCTCACATACAGTTATGTACCATCAAAGATCATTCTCATTGTGAAATGGGAAGTAGAATATTTTACTCACCAGTGCTAAGGAAGCACCATCTATCTAAGTTCATTCATTTTATAAAGTAGGAGGTATAATATGGAATTGGAAAGGAGCAAAGAGAGTCGCTGTCCACCTGGAGTCCTATGAGAATAGTGACCCAGGAGGAATAAC